GTGTGGGCAATTCTTTGTGACCTCTTTCTTGGGGTTTTCTTGGCAAAGATACTGGAATGACTTGACATTTCCTTCCCAGAAAATTTTACAGATGAGGAAACTGAGGCAAACTGGGTTAAGTGACTTGCCCAGGATCACAGAGCTAGTAAGTGTCTGAGCCCAGATTTGAACTCAGGAAGATGAATCTTTACGACTTCCGACCTGGTACTTTCTCTACTGTGCCACCTACTTGCTGGGATCGTCTCTTGTTGGCCTCCATTTGCTGGGTCATCTCCCCTTTCTGTCTTGTCCAGCCTTTCCAGGTTTCAAAATAAGATGGCCAGAAGGGTGGTGTAATCAAAAAGCACAACAGACCGGGCAGTACGTTCACTTTAGGTTCAGATCTTGAGACGCAATGACACGAAATCAATACAAACTTAACAAGTAGTTGGGTTTATTTGATAATGCTTCAGGTGACAGAGAAATAGGAATTAAAATAATGTACATAGGCATACGATCCAGTGAATGATAATTAAAATAGAACAAAGAAAGAATAGATACAACACCAACTAGGCAAGCTCCAACACCTGACAGCGACCAGGGAGACTTCAGGAGATAGTCATCAGGGTCCTGGTTGGGAAAGTAACCGAGTGGGCATCCCCATCTCTGAAGAGAAGACCTCCCAAAGTCCCTTTCCTAAATGGATCTTTTGATATCTATGTTAACCGTGGGAAAACAACCTGAGAACAAAGGTGGAACTTGGCCAAAGCTCCAGATGCCTATTTTTTATGTACATGTCCAAGGATGGGCCAGATCCTTGAGCACATACATATTTTCCTTGAGATAAGAGTTGTTCTACCTTGGTAACATTGTTTGTTTGTTCTTTGGTGTTCTGTTCCCTTGCTGCTCCCAGTCACAAATACTAACTTTAAATTACATTCCTTATGTCAGGTCATGAGGCGGTCATGTGAGGGGCTGGGGAGGGTCTCCTCAGTTTCCCTTACAGATAGTGATACCATTAATAGAAAAAAATGAACCTATAAGGAGGGTTGGGTTTTTGGAAGGATATTGTCCTTTTGGACTATAAAGGGTGATAGACAAAGGGCTATGAAACCATGCATACCCTTTGACCATTACCATATATGTATGCCAGAGATAAAAAAAAAAAAGAAAACCTTTATGTACAAAAATATTTATAGCAGCTCTTATAAGGGTGGCAAAAAATTGGAAATTGAGGGGATGCTCCTCAGTTGGGAAATGGATGAACAAATTGGTATATGGTTGTGATGGAATACTGTTGTGCTATATGAAATGAGCAGGATGCTTTCACAAAAACCTGGACTTAGATGAACAGATGCAAAGTGAAATGAATAGAACCAGAACACTGTATACAGTAACGGCAATATTGTAAGATGATCAACCATGAATGACTTAGCTATTCTCAGCAATACAGTGATCCAAGACAACTCTGAAGGACTTCTGATAAAAAATTCTATCCATCCCCAGACAAAGAACTGGTGTCTGAATGCAGATTGAAGCAGACTTTTTTTACCTTCTTTATTTTTCTTGAATACAGATAGAAGTATACTCTTTAACTCTTTTGAATTTTTCTTGTTTTTTTTTGTCAATGTTTTCTTGTACAACATGACTAATAATGGAAATATGCTTTACATGACTACACACTGTATCAAATTGCTTGCCTTCTCAGTGACGGGGGTGGGGAGCAAGGGAGTGAGAGAGAGAATTTTGAACTCAAAAATTTAAAACATATTAAAAATTGTTTTTACATGGAATTGGGGAAAATAAAATATTAAATAATTTTAAAAAAGAAATGACGAGTGGAATGCTCTTAGAAAAATCTGTAAAAACTTACATGAACTGATACAAAGTGAAATGAGCAGAACCAGGAAAACATTGTACACAGTAACGAGAATATTGTATGATGATCAATTGAATGATTTAGCTACTCCCAGCAATACAGTGATCCAAGATAATTCCAAAGGTCTTATGATGAAAAATGCTGTCCATCTCCAGAGAAAGAACTGATGGAATAGGGATGCAGATCAAAGAATACTTTTTCTTTGCTTTCTTGTTGTTGGCTTTTTGGTTTATGTTTTCTTTCACAACATAACCAATGTGGAAATGTTTTGCATAAGTACACATGTATAACCTATTGTTTGCCTTCTCAATGAGGGGGGGAGAGAAAGAATTTGGAACTCAAAACTTTAAGAAAAATGAATATTAAAGATTGTTTTGCATATAGTTGGGGGAAAATAAAATATTACATCCCTTAAAAAACAGGAAAATCTCCAGTTCTCTTTTTATTGATAGCATAGTATATTTAACATTGAATTAGCATGTTTTGTTTAACATTATATTTAAGAAACAATGAAACTTATGAAGCACTACATCATGGAGGATTACAACCTCAAATATACCATTGAATGTTTAATAACTGGCTTCCAGAAGCAATTGCAGTGGCTTCTGGAGCTCTCAGCCCACAGATGGTAAGGGGTTTAGACAAGTGGTCAGAAGAAGATTACAGAGGTCCCTTTGCTGGCACTGGGTGCAAGACTAGGTTGTGTTGTCCATACTTATATCCTGATTGCAGTCCTGGGTCACAGTTCTAGAGCGAGGAGGGGCACTAACACACCAGAGCCTGGGGCTGCAGGAGGGCAGGGACCCTGGTCACAGTTCTTCTTAATGATGCATGTCACTCATGGAAGATGCATTATTAATATCATGGATGACTTGGAGTTTCCTCCTTTCCAGTTGGGTTTTGTGAATGTCACTAAGCCTGCAAAGAGAAAGCTTATGTGTGGCCTGAGAATGGAGGCTTACGATCTGTCTGAACCAGCCTGGGAAACACTCTGCTGCCCATCAGCAGCTTCCTTGGGGTCTTCCATGCATAATGAAGAAAAAAGGCTACATGTGGTTTCTGTTTTAAAATCTCATTCTATGGTACTGAGCTGTTTTAGTGGTGTGGGCAGCAGGTGAGATACAGACACAGTACTGATCAGTGGCACACACACATGATCCACCAGTACTGACTAACAGAAAAGGCCAAAGATTTATTCCAGTAACACCATTCCCTACCCAAACACTGAACGAGTGCTTCTGAGCTCAGGCGCTGATGATCTCCTGAGCCATGTGAATCTTAGGGAAACAGACATGAGTCAACAAAGACAAAATTAACCAACTGGGAAAAGAGGTTCAAAACCTTAAGGAGTCAAATAACTCCTTGAAAACCAGAATTGGGCAAGAGGAATCATATGATGTTAAAAAGCTATGAAATAATAAAACCAGGAAAAAAATCTGAAAAATCTCATTAGAAAAACAACTGATTGGGGCAGCTAGGTGTTACAGTGGATAGAGTACCAGCCCTGGAGTCAGGAGGACCCAAGTTCAAATCCGGCCTCAGACACATAACACTTACTAGCTGTGTGACCCTGGGCAAGTCACTTAACCCATTGCCTAGCCAAAAAGAAAAAAGAAAAACAACTGATCTGGAGAACAGATCAAGGAGAGGCAATATAAGAATTGTCAGACTACCTGAAAGTTATGATCAAAAAAAGAAATCTGGATACAATATTGCAAGAAATTAAATTGTTAAAGTAGAAATAGAAAAAAAAAATCTACCAGTCACCACCTGAAAGCAATCCCAGGAGGAAACTTTACAGGAATGTCATAACCAAGTTTCCCAATTTAAGGTGAAAATATTGCAAGCAACAAGAAAAAAAAATTTTAACTGCAGAAGTAGTCAGGATTTCACAAGACCTAGTAGCTTCTACTCTAAAAGACTGTAGGCTTTGGAATGTTATGTTTCAAAGAGCAATAGAGCTGGGGTTGGGTCCAAGCATAACTTACCCAGCAAAGTTGAGCGTCATTTTGAATGGAAAAAAAAATGGACATTTGACGAACTGAAAGACTTTTAGGTATTTGTAACAAAAAGACCAGAACTTAGTGGAAAATTAAATATAAAAGATCTAGAAGAAATATAAGGAAAACATTAAAGATTAATTATAAGGCACTCATTAAACTGTGTACTTATTGTATAGCTGAAAATGTCATCAGTATTCTTAAAACTGTCATCATTACAAAAGTGGTTTGAAAGTTGGGGGCTGAGTTGTGTATGATTGGGTGATTCTAAAAAACAAAATTGGGTAGGAAAAGGTAAAAAGGAGCAATTATATTATAAAAATGAGGTGTGAAAGGAAAAACTAATACAGAGAAAGCAGGTAGGAGTGAAGGGTTAGTAATGTTGGAACCTTACTCTCATCTAGATAGAAGAAATAACATACATCTGGAAGGGTATAGAAGTCTTCTGAACATGTAGGGAGGTGAGAAAACTGGGGGACAGGCTGGAGGAGGGACTTTTAGAGGAGTATGTAGATTGGGATTTGGAAGGGGATGGGGGGGACTCTTGGAGGGCTAGGTGAAGTGGGGAGAGAAGATAAGGTAATGGATAGAATAAAAAGAGGCTGAGAAAGAAAATAGCAAGAAAAATAAGATGGAGGGAAATTCACAAATAGCAATTATAACTTTGAATATGAATAGGATGTTTATAGCAGCTCTCTTTGTGGTGGCAAAGAATTGGAAATTGCAGGTGTTGCCATAAACTGGGGAATGGCTGAACAAGTAGTATATTATTGTGATGGAATACTACTGTGCAATAAGAAAATATAAACTCAGTGATCTTAGAAAGGCATGGAAAGTCTTACACGAATGATGAATATTGAAGTGAGCAGAACCAAGAGACATTGTATATAGTAATAGCAATACTGTTTTAATAATGACTTTGAGTGACTTAGTCATTTTGGTTATTATAAATATGCTTTTATTACAGTATATATAAATGTAATATAAATATAGTATATATAAATATATATAAATACTTTTATAAATTAAAAATAAAGTACATATGTAGAAAGATGCTATCTGCATCCAGAAAAAGAACTGATAAATACATGTATAGAATAATTTTACATATATACTTGTACCTATTTGTGTCTAATGGTAGCCACGGGTGAGGGAGGATTAAGAGAAGTAAAAAAAAGGAAAACAGACATGAGAGAAAGAGAGGAAGAGCAGCCAACATTCTAAACTTTTTTATCCTGGAAAACCCTCTACTGGGTTCTCTTACACCATACTGTTATTTTCAAACATTCCAGTGAGTTGAGCCAGGTTCTGATCTCAGTTTTCACTTGTTAGCCAGAGTCAACCGTAGAGCTCACCAAATGAATCCTTCTCCTAAGGAGTGGGCTTGGTTAATACACACAATGCATAAACAAAACCACTTATGTCTGCAGCTAAACACACAGGACAGTTGCACATACAAAAAAATTACATTTAAAATCATAAAAAAAATTTAGAAGGTACTTTATAATCTGTAATCGATCACAGCTTGCGCTTTGTGAAGTGATTCTTTGTGAAGACACCTGGGACCATAATAAAATCAGTACAACAAGGCTTCTTTGCCGGTAAAGCTCTGTGTCTCTCCCTCACTATAAGTTTAGTGTCTCTGGCGGGTTGATGAGGGATACATCCTGGTACTTTGCCGTCTTGTATTTTTCTTGTATAGACTGCAAGGCTTGCTGTGATGCTGTAAGGAAGGTCTGGTGGAGGTCCATTAGACATGGCTTAAGACTTTCCAAGGTGTATCCCGTTTTTTGGATTAAAGACTCTGGCCAGCTTTTCCCAGTGACTGTGTAGAGTGCTAGATGAAAGGCAGCTCCCGCGATAATTGATGGTAAATATTTCAGGTATGGGTCGGCATCAGTTAAACTCAAGTCTCCCAGAAACATCGCCAAACTCTCCACTTTAGAATTGGCCTGCTGCTGATGTAGGAAATACTGAGTGAGAAACTGGTTGATCGTTGGTGCTGCCAGGTCAAAATCAAGCACTCTCAGTAACAGCTGCTCCATGCTTAACACCTCCTTCCGAGTGTACACGTTATCTGTGAGGCACAGAAGCTCAGCTACTGGTGGTGGGTGGCGTTCCTCAAACTTGGAGGCGAGGCGCAGGGCAGCAATCCCGACCAGCTGAAGCTGCCCCTGGAGCGCTGACGAGGAGAGGAATCGATTGGTGTAGTCCACAGCCAAGTGCACGGTCTCGTTCTGGAGCTTGTATTCCTCCCCCGCCATCACCAGCCAGTCCACCAAAGTAGCCCGCATGCTCTTGGTTATGTCTGGCTGCTTCTCCATGTAACCCGCTTTAGGCTTATACTGAACCTCCTTTTCCCTAAGGGACCGATAGATGTCTTCGTGGTAGTCAGGGACCTCATTGATATTTCGTGACTTTTCTTCTGGTTCCAGTAGCACAGGCATGTCCATAGTAAGGGAGGCTTCAAAACTACCATCCTTGGATAATCAGGGCTCACCAAAGGTTGTCTTGTCTCTGACAGCGAAACAGCTGAATTGAAACGCAGCAGCACATTGTCCTCAGACTGCTTTTCTATAGGAACGGGAAGTTTCTTTCCATTCTCCTCAACTGGTTCGTGAGGGCGAATTGTGAAGGCAGCCTGCTTACTGGTGGTATTCCAGGGTGGGACATTACCCTGCTTATCCCCGGGAGAAGCAACAAGGCCCAAACTCTCCGGCTTCTGGGCTTCCAGGCCGGGGCTGAGGCCGGGGCTGGGGCCGGGGGTCCACACCAAGTCCAGCCCCTTGTAAGTCGCGGTGGGCTTGGCGCGGGCGCTGCCCTCGTCTGGCCGGACCTCCTCCTCCTCCTTCGGGCAGGCGGCCCGGAACCACCTGGGTAGCTTCAGCCACGCCGCCTTGATCACCGTGCGCCGCAGCATGGCGCGGGCTCTGGATCCCACGGGCATAGCTGCCCTTGTAAACCGCCTACTTTCCTCTACAACTTCGTTCCTTCAGCAGCTATGATGTGTGGACGTCCAGTCCCCCAAAGAAAATGTGAGCTGATTATCCGCCCTTTTATAGGAAGTACCCCACCCCTTTATTTACACCTAGAAAAGGCGTGAATTCCTTGATTTGAATTCTCTTGGCTTTTGTGCTCTCGCCCGAGGCCAATTAACACTTCCAGTCTGCAGCAACCCCGAGGCCCTCCAAGTCTACTTGAGCATTCAGTTTAGAGAACAGGGGTACTAGACCTGCTTGAAATAAGATTCTATCCTTTTCCTCTTTTGGTTTACACCATCTTGGGTAGAAGATTAGACTTGGATTCAGGAATTAGTGATTTTTCCCTGTTGTCACCTTTGTGATCTTGGAGAATCATTCACCTCCTCTGAGTCTCAACCTCTTTTATGTGTAAACTAGGTTAAACTACTAATATTGCTTTATTTACGTTCACTAATATTGCATTTTTACTGTGGTAGTCGGGTCCATGTCTATTGAGTCTTTTTCCAGGGGAAAGCAAAGAGGTCCTGGGAATCTGGGTGGACTGGGATATTGGAAAAGGCTGAACAAAGATTTAGTACTGCAAAGCAAGTTGCATTCCAGGGACTGGAAGAGACAAGAGTAGCAGGATTAGGCACCACCCAGTTGGAGGATTATCATAGGAGTTAATGGAGCAAAAACATCATTTGGGGAAATCCATTTTCCATCAGGTCCCAGGTTTTTTTTTTCCTTAATAGGCAATGTAAGAGTATTGTAGGAAGACTTACGTGGAATAATAATAATAATACCTTGATCTCTGAAAGAGTTAATGAGGTTCAATACCTTCTATGGCTTCTTTAGGTAATAGGTATTGGGGCTGAAAGGGTGGAGACCCTTCTTTAGTTTCCACAGTACAGCAGATTTTAATAGTCCTACATTGGTAGAAGATGCAGCCCACAGACATTCAGGGATGTTAGAGGGAACAGAGCATGAGGAGACATGAGTTCCCCTTACTTCTCAATGAGATGTGGCAGGGCACTATTGGGAAGTGGGTAGAAGGCAGAGTCTCTTCATTGGGGGAGGGGGGTAGATCTCAGGCACAATTCTGAAAGCTAGTTTGTGTTCCTATTAGCATTCTCTTCTGTTTCAAGGGAAAGGTGAGAACACACTGATCTCTAACTAAAGAATGTTCATAGGATAGGGTCCCCCAGACTTACAGAACTTCTTAGAAATGCCTTCTTATCCTGAACTGCCTTGCCAGTGAAATGATACAACAGGTGCCAAGCACAATGCTAATCTCTGGGGATACAAAGAAGGACAAAGTAAGACAGTCCCCGATTTTAGGGAACTCAACTCTAATAACATTCAAATAACTATGCATTAACTAGTTACACATGGGAAACAATCAACAAGGGAAGGCATTTAGGAAGACATTAGGAAAAGTTTCCTTTGAAATATGAGATATTAGCTATGACTTAAAGGAATTGAGGAAAGCCAGAGGCTGAGATGAGAAGGGAGACAATTCTGCACATGGGGAACATCCAAAGAAATTGCCCAAAGTTGGGAGAGGTACTGGTGTGTTAAAGAGACAGTGTCATTGGATCACAAAGCAAGTGGTGAAGTTTAAGGTAGAAGAAGACTGGAAAGGTAGAGGGTCCAAGTTTTCACCCAACAGATGATTTTTTATTTGATTCTGGAGACAATAAGGATAATAAGATAATAAGGAACCACTGGCATTTATTGAAAATGACCTGATCTTTAGTCAGATCATTTTGTAAGATGGATGGAGTATGGATTGGAGCAAGAAGAGACAGGCAGGAAGACCAAGCAGCACACTATTGCAATAGTCCAAGTGGGAAGTGATTAGAACCTTCACCAGTGTTGGGGCAGTGTCAGAGGAAAATAGGGAGCATATACAAGAGATGTTTAGAAGGTAAAATTGACAGGTAAGGTAAACTCTGGCAGTGGATTGTATATGCAGGTTGAGAGAGAATGAGGAGTCAAGGATGACATTCTGAGAACAAGGGAGAAAAGCAGTTTGGTGGTACCCATGAGACTAACAGGGAAATTTGATGCATAGTAAATTTGTTTTTCCAGCCCCTCATCTGTATTCTGTGTATGTCCATGCTTTTTTAAAAATATGGCTCCTCTAAGTTACACATTATGTTTTTATTTCTGTATCTAATCTGTCCCTCTTTTCCATTTTATTGTACTGTTTAATCCATTCACATTTAAGGTTATGAGAGTTGGCTTTCTATTTTCCTTCATTTATCTCTAATTTTTGAAGTTGTTTTTTTCTGTTTTTTGTTACAAACACAACCAATAGAAAGGGAGAAAATGAAGATAAGTAACAGAGTGGAGATTAATACTGCTGGTCAATATTCGGGGCGGGGGAATGGGATGGGTTGAAATTACTTGTGCACATAGAGAGATTGCTTTCCAATTATTTTACCTAAATTTTTTTTAAGGTGGCCCTATTCCCACTAATTCTCTTCCCCTCGTCCCTTCACAATCCTTCCTATTGATTTCTCATCTCCCTTTAGAGTCTTAGTTCTTTTTTCTTTCCTGCTTTTATTTGATTATGTAACTCTTCTCTTATTTTTCTCTTCTATTAAGTAGTCAAGTAAAATTCCTCTTCTCCTCTTCCACTTTGCCTGCTCATTAATTTTTATGTTTTAACTTTTGGCACCCCTTTCCAGAGGGGTCTCCCTGACTCTCTTCACTATCCATCCTCCTTTTTTGTTTGCTCTAGACCATCATTCTCTGGTTCACTTTTCTAGTGCCCCTCTGTTCTCTGTACGCTACTTGGAATTGAAACTTCTGAGGAGCTCATTGTGGTTGCTCTCTTCTGAGAAGTGCCTTCCATTGCTCTGTAAATTTTGCCCCCTCCATGGCCTTTCTCCATTGTGCTTCATTTCCATAAATATATTAATTCCTCCAGGTGATCAACTGGACAGTGACCCACAAAAGGACCCCCATCATGTCCCTGATTATGCAGCTAACTACTGACCTTTTACCTCCCCTTGGTCACCTTCCTTACCCAACTGCCTCAAAGACTGACTTCATGGCCTTACCCTCTCCTAGATGGTCACTCCCAGAAGTTCCAACCACCCACATCCTGATGTAGTATAAATGTTGCCAAATCTCCATAGACAGTGGCTAGCACAAGGCTTCTCTTTATTCCTAGGAGACTTCATCAGTGCATTCTCTCTCACCTCCAAAACAAAGTTTCCTCCTTCTCCTCATTTTTCCAATCCTTACCCTGCCTCCTCCCTGATTCCCCTATATGCTTTCCTCTTTTTCAGAAAGCACAGCAGTCCCTTTCCCCTCACTGTCAGTTCTCCACTTGATTAGGGCACATCACACACACCCTTCCATCTTCATCCTCCCTTCTACCCTGCTATTCAAATTCCCATTTGGTAATTTAGTACAACAAAAACTTTGATTCACCTGAAGGTGGTGTGCCAGGAGGTTCATTATATAATGCCCCAGACCCAGATCTCCCTTATTACCTCCACTTGTGTTTCACCTTCACTCCTGTCTCCTTGTGTACATTTAGGGAGAAAAAAAGATTCTTCTTGGTCTCTCTGTGCTGTTGTTGTTGCTTTCCTTACCTGTTGCCTTGGTTTTACCCAACCTGCATTTCTGTTATATTAACTTTTTGAGGAGCAAATATTCTCTTTGAGTCTAGTTTTCTTTCTTAAAGTGTTTCAAATGTCTTTTTTTATTATTGAACATCCATGTTTTTTCATTTATGTTTAAACTAAAATTTGTAGGGTAGTACCACTTGGGCTGCAACTCCATCACCATTGCTCTTTGGAACACATTATTCCATTTCCTCCACCATTTTTCTGGTGGGTACTGAATAGTTTTATGTTATCCAAATTTTCTTTTCATTGTATTTATAATTCTTTCTCCAGGTTGCTTGCAGAATTTGTTGTTTCTCAATAGAATTGTACATTTTAGCCAGGATATTTCTTAGTGTTATGTTTTTTTTTTTTTGGAGGTGATCTGTGGATTCTTTTAATTGACACCTTGTTTCCTGTCTTCAGGAGTTCTTAGGAGTTTTTTGTAGTAATTCTTATACTATCATGTTCAGGTTATTTGACTTATTAGATTCTTCTAGGATATCTATAATCCTTAAGTTGTCTCTACATATCCTGTCTTTGAGATCAATGTTTTACTTGTATGAACAGCATGTTTTCTTTTCATGTTATTGCCTTTTGTATATCTTCTCTAGGTTGGTCTGTACTTGTGTGCATTTGTATTCCCAAATAGGTGTCTTCTCTTGATTTTTTTTTTAGTGAGACTTGCCACCATGGATTCAAGTTGTTTTTTTATTCTCTTAATTCTTTCTATTCTATAAGCCATAGATTCTGCTCTCCCAATTCTGACTTCTCTTTTGAATCACACAGGAACAATGTATCTGGATTACATGCTCTCCTCAAACTCCACAGGGTCCTCTGCCCCCAGTGAGGCAGAGGTTGAATTGTTTTCTTTACTTTTGTAGTATTTATTTAGAGATTCTTGAACTGGTTTAACAGATCCACAGGCCATATTTCCTAGTGGTATTAAATTCTTCTTTATTAGTTTATCTGCTCATTTTCAAGGTCTTTAAATTTTGCTCCTCCTGAGATTACTGACAATGTTATTCTTTTGCTTTTATTTTCCGCTGTTATTCACTTTATGACTCCCTCCTTGACAGAAGTTTCCTGGAAGGCTGGACTTTAAGTATCTGAGGCGCCCCCTATTTTAAATTATTTATGGTTCACCAGTCTAGGTTTCTGTTCCTAACCAACTTTTTTTGGGGAAATAATTGTTCCCAGATGAATGCTGTACTCTTTTATTCAGGCTTCATGAAGTGCCATAAATACCCCTACATAAGGTATCCTGCCCTGTTTACTCTTTTCTCTGGCAAAGTAGTACAGAACATTGCCACCCTATTGGTATCACAGCCTGGGCTAAGTTCTTTCATTTGCAATTCGGATCTCCGTAAAAATGGGAGGAAGTGGGGGGTCAGGATGTGGAGCTAGGCCCTACAACAACTGAGACACATAACTTGCCATATCCTCTCTGTTCATCTGCTCTCTGCGGCATATGACACTAATAGTGTGCAGGCAATCTTGGACACAGCAAATTCCTGCATTTGGAGTTTAGATCTACATAGCACCAGAAAGAGGGAAAAGGGTGGGTGGGGGGTGACTGCATTTTGTTGCAAGCCCATGAGTTGAGTTGGCTTATGCATCCTTACTGTCAGGAGCATGGTGGGTGATGGGAGAGAGGGTGCTGAGAATGAGTTAAACATTAGCTCCTGGAGATTTTGTCTTCTTTGAGTTCTTAGTGTCCTAGACATAGAGGTTGCTGATGTTTCTTTTTCCCTGCTGCATAATTTCTTTTTTTAGAAAGGTTTGAGAGGTCATGAGGATCAGAGATCATTTGTAGTTCTCTATGTTGCTGGCTATGTGACCTGAGAAATGTTGAGATTTTCAAAGTAAATATTATTGTGAACTTGGGGGTGAAGGGGAGTCCATTCAGAAACATGGGTTAAAGTTTAGGTAAGGGAGCAAGAACTTGGGGAAGCAGGAGTGCGATATCTCCAATTACCTTATGGCAGGAGACCAAGTTGGAAACTTCCCTCTTCTCTCAGGAGATATGTAGGACACTGAAGCTTTCTCCTCTCCATTCCCTCCTGAGGCTTGGGATGAGGCAGGATAATGTTAGAGATAAGATAGCAGTCCTGCAGGGCACAGACCCTCCTTTATTCTTTCTCCTGGCATCTGGAGATCAGACAGGAGACACTCAGGGTTTGATGGTATTGCACCCACATCTCTACCTCTCAATCCTAATAGAAGATAGGGACCAGGCAAGAGACTCATGAAGATGAGATAGAAGATGAGGTGATGCCAGGATGAAATTGAATAAGGATCCATAAGGTTTTCTGGGAGAGGTGAAGTGAGTAAAGATTTTGCCCTGGGTAAAGTTGCAGGACAAACTTGGGCCATGCTGAGGCTAGAGTGGCTATTGATTCTGGTAACTGTAGGGTTCAGAGGTGGCCAGTATGCTCTAACAGTGTGTGGGAAATGAATGTGTTCTAGGGAGAAGACGGTTTTTAGAAAGTGGCAATGAAAGGCTTTGCTCAAGTAGACTTTGACTGAGAAGCTGCAAGTGGAGTTTTGATGCTACTTCTATAATCATCAAAAGAGGAAAATGGTAGAAGTGGACCAAAAGTCTTTGAAAAACTCGACATTGCCTATAGGATGTGTGGGATAGAACCCCAGACATGATCCGTGGGTCATGGGGCTAGTGTCATTGGCTGTCAGACCTAAAGCTTTAGGAAGATCAGTTTTTTCAGCTGAAGGGAGGGGTAAAGGAGGGACTCAAGTGGATAGATGACACGGAGAAAACCTAGCAAGTTATTGCAGTAGTCTAGGTGCTAGATGATGAAGGCCAACACCAGAATGTCTAGGACACCAAGAGGACAACATCAGAGGAGAAAAGGGGCTCACTGTGACTTTTCTCTCTTTCTGACTATTGGCTCCTAGAATGGTCATTTTAAGGAGTGGGCCCAGACCAACTGTATCTTCTCCCACTTGCACTCTTGACTGTCCACTAGACTTTCTGTACCTTTATTGTGGAACAGCCAATCATTCAAGAAAGTTCCACATTGTGTACAGGGCATCATAACTAGGCTTAGAATTAACCAGGTGGGAAATTTTTCTGTTCAGAAAGGAAAGAACACAATGGGAAAACTCACTCAAGAAGACACTACCATCACAATTGTGTGGTCATCATCTCAATTTTCCCAGGCACAGATAGCCACTTGTGGGAGTTCTCAGATCACACTCTCTTAGAGCACCACGTGGCATTTCCCTTCAATGGTGGATTATTAGCTTAATGATAATTCAGGTAATCATACCTGAAATAAAAACTCAGAACAGTACCTAGTTAAAGTTCCAAGAGATGTTTTTCCTCATGTTCTTGCAATAAGCGTTAACAATGAGCACACATCCTTTCTAGTTTTACTCTATCCAGGAGCAGAAATCAGTCATTAGAAATGAAGAAAATAATCACATTTTGAAGTTTCATTCACATACATTGAATACATGAGAGTTCACTCAAAACCCAGAAAACTAGTGGCTACTGGAAGTCTTGAGGCTTGACAAAAATCCATATCTAAAGGTATTTTTGTATGTTAACTCCTAAAGCAAAAATAATATCTTTAAATCTGGGATCTGTTGATGCAAAGTTGGCTTAAAAATATAACTTCAATACATACTATTCCAGGTTCACTTCCATAATTTTCATAAGCAATGACCACACAATCAAAATTATTATTTAAAAGAGAAACTTATAAGCCTTTTTTACTTCAGCTGTGAGAAGTCTTGGTTTCTCATTAGACTACTTCATTATTTTAGACGTTCACATCATTCTTTCAATAACTTCTCACATTGAGTTCATAAGATTTTATGACTTTGCCAAGGCTCAAGATCCAGGGGACTGATAATCTGCCAAGTCTGCCCACCTCAAATTTCACAGATATTTGTAAAATCTAGGGTACTTTCCCAAACAATAAGTAATTATTATTATTCATTTTAAAGCAAAATATACCCAATTAAATACTTGAAGGTTTGTTATAACCACAATGACAACTGTCTTGATCAAAAAGGGAGGCAGTCTTCCAATAAAACAACTGTATGGGCAGCTATACTTGTAAGGCACAGTGGATGGAGTACCAGGCCTGAAGTCAGCAAGACTCCCTGGTTGAAATCTGGCCTCAGATACTTATTAGCTGTGTGACCTTGGGCAAGTCACTTAACTCTCTTTCTCTCAGTTTCTCTTCTGTAAAATAAGCTAGAGAAGAAAATGGCAAAAACACTTCAGTATCTTTGCTAAGAAAACTCCAGAGTCATGAAGTCAGACATGACTGAAACAACTGAATAACAACTGGGTTCCATTTTTCACATTAATAGTATTTCTTATGCAATTATTTCCCAAAAGTCACAATATAAGAAAAATTAAAAGCCTATCAATAACATAAACAATGTTATGGATTTTAAAAACTTAACATAAGACACTGCCAGCCAAATAACATCAACTGAGTTGAATGCATTTCCAAATCCTTTGCTATAGAAAAATCACTTCAGCCGTCCATCAATTTGGCATTCTATAGAATTTGCATTCTGAAGACAGTACAGAGTAATTACACTTTTAATTCTTATTCATGCAGTTTCTAAGCATATTTCTTTAATGCCAGATATCAAGTGTATTTAGTATTGAGGTATGATCTACCTATAGAAGGACAACTATCACAATTATCCTAATGGAACCCATCTCACTTTATATGAAACTACATACTCTAGAATCAGGACAAATTCAATCGAATCAAATCTGGATTTGTAATCACAAAAGATATCATTCAACAATTTCAGTTTTCCCAAGGTTCATTAGCTGTCAGAACCTCAAATTATGTAGCCTACTTCTTTCAGTTATCTCAGTTCCCAAATTTTATGGTGGTAGTCTCACAGTCTCATTTCCTTCTTTTGAGACCCATGAGACTTTCTCAAAATGTGGAAATTATCTCACAGCCTTCTTAAAATATTTCTCCATTTACTGGAGATATGGGAAAATCGGAACACTAATGGATTGTTGGTAGAGCTGTGAACTGATTCAACCATTCTGGAGAGCAATTTGGAACTATGCCCAAAGGGTTATAAAACTATGTATATCCTTTGAATCAGCAATACCACTTTTAGGTCTATATCCCAAAGAGATCATAAAAATGGGGAAAGGACACACATGCACAAAATATTTATAGCAGTCCTTTTTGTGGTGGCCAAAAATTGGAAATTGAGGGGATGCCCATCAATTGGGTATCAATTGTGGTATATGAATGTAATAGAATACTGTTGTGCTATAAGAAATGACGAGCAGGTAGATTTCAGAAAAAAACCTGGAAAGACTTACATGAACTGCTGCTGAGTGAAGTGAGCAGAACCAGGAGAACATTGTATGTAGTAACAGCAACACAGTGTGAGGACTAACTTTGATAGACTTAGCTCTTCTCAGCAATGCAAGGATCTAAGACAACTCCAAAAGACTCATGATGGAAAATGCTATCCACATCCAGAAAAAGAACTATGGAGTCGGAATGCAAATCAAAGCATACTGTTTGCTTTCTTTTTTTGTTTGTTTTATTTCTTCTTTCCCGTGGTTCCTCCCATTGGTTCTAATTCTTCTTTACAACATGACTAATGTGAAAATGTTTAATAGGAATGTAAATGTAGACCCTATATCAGAGTGCATGCCGTCTTGAGGAGGGAGGTAGGGAGGAAGGGGAAGAAAATTTAAAACTCAAAAACTTATGGAAGTGAATGTTGAATACTAAAACTAAATTAATTAATAAAATATTTCTATATTTACAAAAGTCTTCAAACCATAATTTGAAAATTTACAGCAAAGGTATTATATTTCATTGCAAGAGTTTATAAATAGCATAATATTCTACAAACCAGATAAAATATTTCATTTCTTTGCTTATCTTTCTTCATCTCTGTAACCTCAACTGACTGGGATTAAATCAACAGAGAAAAAATAGCCTCCAGTTGTCGTTTTTTTAGGAGAGTTTAGAAATAGATTACAGAAAGCTAGGAAAGCTTTTTCAAGTATGAAATTTCATTAATCTTCCCCACCATTCCAAGCTCCCATTCTGCAGTTTGTTTATTTATTTTTTTTAATAGCAGTCTTTATGGCTTTGCTGGTGTTTTCTTTTAGGTATTGTCAAGGCAGCAGCATTTACAAACAAAACTAAATATGATAAAAGACAAAGGTTTTCCCAAAAAGCTTGAAGGGAGGGTAGAGGGAGAAAAAGGGATCCCTTACTGTTAACATTCAATGTTCCTGGACTGTGAATGCCCAATCCTGGTCAACAGGATGCAGCAAGAAGGCAAATGAAATTCAGTTTTATGCTGATGGTAACAAGCCAAAGCACTTTTATGATGCCCTGAAGGCTAGTTATGGATCAAAGACCTATGGTGCATCTCAGCTACGCAGTGCTGATGGAGCCACATTGATTAGTAATAAAGATATGATCCTGGAGAGGGGGGCTGAACACTTCTATTGTGTTCTCAACAGACTGTCATCAATCAATGCTGAAGACATTGACCATTTACCTCCGGTTGAAATCAATCCCTCCTTAGCTGAAGTTCCCACTGAAGAAGAGGTTTTGAATGCCATTAGGCTCCTCTCCTGTGGCAAAGCATCTGGTTCTGATTCTATTCCAGCTAAGATTTAAAAGGTGTGGGGTCCATTGCTCATACAGAAGCTGACTGGAATTTTCTGGGTTATATGGCAAGAGGAGGTTATCCCCCAGGAGTTCAAGGACACCTCCATTGTTCATCTCTATAAAGGTAAAGGAAAAAGGCTGTCCTGTGACAATCACAGGGGGTGGGGGTATCTCTCTTTAGTCACTGCTGGCAAGTTTCTTGCCAGAGTCCTCCTTAATAGGCTGATCTCTCACTTGGAAGATGGTCATCTACTTGATAGCCAGTGTGGCTTCAAAAAGGGCCAAGGAATGGTTGATACGGTGTTTGCTGCCCAACAACTCCAGAAGAAATGCCAGGAGCAGAACAGAGGTTTG